TTCGTTGTCCTTTGTTGGGAGATCACGTCTAAGAAATCTCGGAGGGGGGCGGCCGGCCGTTGTTTCATGTTTTTATTTCTTTGACCTTTAACCCTCTTTCTGATTTGCCCCTCCCCCCGTCCTGCCATATTCTGTCTTTGATGGAGAGTTTTTGTTTCCCGAGCTTAGTAATGGGCTGGAATGAATAAATATATCTATATACTGCCTCGTTAGCAGCCGTGCATGGAACCAGCGGCCTGTGTCTGCCTTTATTTGCTGCATGCCCCTGGGGAGGCTTTAAAGGGAACCTGTCATTGGGTCGGTATGGGGGGCTGCCATTGCTCACACTCATTAGCTTGTCCTGGGTCTGTGACTCTCATGTATGGAAGGCGGATACACGCAGCCCCCGTCCTTCTCCCATGGTCCCACCTGAACTGTGCCGCCAGCCAATCAGATTGTTCCGGTGTTTGGGGAGCCAGCGGGGTGACTAGTAGGATGCTGACGCTTGGCCCAGTGGGAGGTTCCTCCATCCAATCAGATTGTTCCGGTATTTGGGGAGCCAGCGGGGTGACTAGTAAGATGCTGACGCTTGGCCCAGTGGGAGGTTCCTCCATCCAATCAGATTGTTCCGGTATTTGGGGAGCCAGCGGGGTGACTAGTAAGATCCTGACGCTCGGCCCAGTGGGAGGTTCCTCCAGCCAATCAGATTGTTCCGGTATTTGGGGAGCCGACTAGTAGGATCCTGACGCTTGGCCCAGTGGGAGGTTCCTCCATCCAATCAGATTGTTCCGGTGTTTGGGGAGCCGACTAGTAGGATCCTGACGCTCGGCCCAGTGGGAGGTTCCTCCATCCAATCAGATTGTTCTGATATTTGGGGAGCCGACTAGTAAGATGCTGACGCTCGGCCCAGTGGGAGGTTCCTCCATCCAATCAGGTCCGGTATTTGGGGAGCCAGTGGGGTGACTAGTAGGATCCTGAAGCTCGGCCCAGTGGGAGGTTCCTCCATACACACAGTTCAGCGTAGACGGAGGAATCTGTCACACTTGTGCCGTCTGACCACAGAAAGTCTGCAGACAATCTCTAGGTGTGTGGCCAGCTTTAGAAACGGTACACAGAGCTTCCATCGGAGGCTTCTTCCAAGTGGAATGTGATAGGCTGGGACACCATGGCAGAGGTTAGGTTAGGGGTTTCCATGGTACAATACTACCAACTACACCAGGGGTGGCCTAACTCTGGTCCTCCAGCTGTGGGGTGAAAACACAACTCCCACGATGCACCTCTCTCTCCACGAGAGTCAGGTCTGTGAGAATGTCGCAATGCCTCATGGGATTTGTAGTTCCACCAGCGCTGGAGGAGCAGAGTTTGGCTAGCCCTGAACGTGATGAAGGTAGACCATGGCACCATGTGGTCAGATGTGGTGCGGTGGGTGTGTCCTGAATGTATTATGCACCACTAAGGTGACATCGTGTGAGATCCGGAGGTCCTCCCACATCTGAGTCTGTGCGGCATCTGCTCACCGTGGGAATGGCTTCGGCTGTCCCTACAACCCCCGGGCACTCCGGACTGTCTAATCTTCCCTGGAATCTCTTCAAGCAGCTCTCACTCCTGTGTGGTGAACGCAGAGCCTAGGGGCAGATGGGGCTTCAAGAGGGCGGTCCCTAGCTTGTGAGACGCCAGCCAGTTCTTCTAGGGATGGATCAGACACGCGTGTTGTATAGTTCCTCAGAACCGTGTATGAGCCGTGCAGAGTTCATTATCTACCCCGAAGCTAAAGCTCCCTCCATGGAGGTCACATCCCGGTGGTTGGCCGTCCTCGCGGGAATTCTCCGCCTCTGACTGTTCATTGTATTTGGGGTTGTATGATGGTGACCGCCATTGATGTGCTGTATATGGAGATGAGTGCATCCTCCTCCCTGTGCAGATCATTTCCAGACCCGGAGTCCAATGTGTTGGTTCTGCCACCATCAGGAGAGAGATGCAGTGTTGGGGGTTCGTCCGGGATTGGCACTGAAGGGCGGTGGAATGGGTCGCTCTTGTGGACTCTGGTGGTAAAAACTATAGTGTCCCCCCCCCCCCCCTTGGGTTTTTACTTTCGCGGGGG